CACAGTCACAGGTGCTGCACTTAGGACTTAACATATTTCTGGTGGACACAATTCAAGGTTCACATTTGCAGAATGGTTATAACAAACCTCACCGAGAGGGTCGAGCTCAGCTCAGCCACTGCTGAATTGCTCCACAGCGTTGCTTTGCACACTGCTCAGCAGCAACAGAGCAGACGGACACTGACTTGGTCCCTAGCAAGTCTTGGCCCTTTGGCCAAGCTGAGACGTGCTCCTGGCCACGTGCATTCTCCCCACCCCCTGATGGGGCAAACAGCTGATAGAAATCTCTTGGTGGGAGGTGAGAGGGAGGGTAAGATGCCCAGCTGGCTCTGGGCAAAGGGTCCAGAGGGGGAGGGAAAAAGCCAGGTGGCTCGTCGGCCCTCGTTCTTCTCTCATGATCGATTTTCCCACGCAGATTTTGGCCCCAGACCCTTGATCTTGGACCAAGTAAAATGATTCGATGTGGAGGCTCTGACCGTATTTCTTTGCTGCAGGAAGAAGTGTGTTTCTAACTCCTTCTCTAATTTATTGTCCCCTTGTGGAGACCCCCTCGGAACCCCAGAGTGGGCATAAGGACTATTTTAAGCTGAAGACATTTGAGATTCAACAGATGCAGAAAAAAAGCCTCCTTGGAACTTCCCTTATCTGACTAAAAGCAGAAACTCCTGGGATATGAAACCACCATAAATCCCCTCTCTGGGTGAAGGGTCATGGTCCCGAAGGAGATGGAAAAACCACTGATACCTGAATAGATGGCATTTTCACAAACTTTCTTATCTCCGTCGTTCTCCTAAAAACACATTTGTCATTCTTAAACAAACCTGTTTGTTTTTCTCAGAGAAGTGGTTTCTCCCCTCCTCCCTTTTCTCTAAGTTAGATATGTAAACCTTTAACCATTTAAGGAGCCAGCTACTTCTTTTATCGGCACCCACTGTGCCCATGAAATAAACCGTTTTCTCCTGTTAAGCTGTCTTTTGACTGTTAATTCACAGGCCCCAGGTAATGAACTTCAGAGGGCTGGGGGAGAGGTTTTTTCCACGCCTACAACCTCTGAGCAAATGTGGGCATCTCATTGGTATGAAAACAAGAAACTGTTTTGTCCTCTCGGGGACATCAGAAAGTCTGTCCTCCTTTTCATTCATTCATCATCCCAGAGGCGGGAGATCCTCCCCTGGGGAAGGTCCAGCTGAGACTCTTGCCTTCGAGAGAGGAACCCAGGGCTCTGAAACCACAGAGCTTTGTTCACTCCAGCCCGAATTACCCAGATGGCAGGTTGGCACTGTCGGATGGCCTGCCACCAAATCCTGGTTCTGCCACCTTGTGGCAGTGGATGTCACTCTGAGTTATTTGTGCCCTCAGGAAAATGAGACTAGTCAGGGTTCCTGTCCACGGCTTGTGGAGGTTAAATGAATCAATGAGTAGAACACTCAGATGTTGTTCATAGAAGTTAATGGTACCTGCACTTTGCAGCGGAGGGTCCCAATTTATTTTTTCTAAAATGACCTCACATGGGACACCAACCGCACTACCATTTGTTGAATGTTTGTTGTATGGCTGGCGCTACTCTAGGTATTTTCTCACTTAACCCTCGAAGGTGTTATTAAGCCAGGAGTCAAACCTGCTTTCTTTGACCCTTTCATTTCTTTAAAATGCCATTGTTTTTTCAACCATTATTTATTGAGCACCAACCAGGGAGCCTAGAAATATACATTTTGCCTCCCCTGTCCCACCTGCAAAGCTGATTGGCTGGCACAGGGGTGCTAGACCATGAGTGGCATTGGGGTGACTTGAGAACTGGTTTGAGATTCAGGTGCCTGGTGCCCACAAATGTGCCAGGACTGAGCCTGGAGACTGCACTTCCCACCAGTGCCATGGAGGGGCCTGACACCCTGATTCCCCGCTTTGTGAAATCCTGGGATAGGATTTCTGAGGTGAAGGGAGGCAGAGAAAGGGTCCCCATGGGATGTTGGGTGTGCTCCAAGGAAGTTGGCCTGCTCCCTGCAGTAAAACGCTCCATGTCGCCAGTCCGGGGACCCCAAGGACCTGCCTGCAAGCTGGCCAAGGTGGGCGCCACCAGAAGGTGGGGCAGCACCTGTGCTGCGGGCAGCTGGAGCGGGCCTGGAGGAGAATGGCATCCTCCCTCCACAGCGGTGGCAAATCAATTGAATTGGGAAAGCATGGAAGAGCATTCAAGGACCTCGAACAGAAGGGCAGAGGTGGGTCCTGTGTGCGAGAATGGCGGCCCAAGTAGGGGCATGGGGTGGGGAGAGGCGGGAGGCAGAGGGAAGTTGAGACTGGATTGGGGGTTCTTCGATGCTATCCTGGAGGAGGGTGGACTTTGTCCTCTGGCCAGAGCAGGAGGAGGTACTGGTGGCTCTTAAGCAGGGCCGTGCCTAGGACAAGATGTGTCTTTGGAACCATGGCCGGCGGTGGCGTGGAGTGGGGTTAGGAGCTGGAAGGCCAGTGAGGGGGGACATGCGACAGCATCAGCCAGGCTCGGATCCTGGGGAGGCTACAGGGGAGATGCCCAGGACGGGGAGCTGTCTGGAGGGAAGGTGACTGCCCGCGGACGGTGAGGCATGCCGCTGGCTCTTCAGAACTGTCCAGGCACCATGGGAGATTCAGTCCAGACATCAGGCAAGCTGTCGAGGACCGAGTGGTATATCAAGGCTGGATATTGAGGTTGCCAGATTTAGCAAATAGATGCTCAGATTGATTTGAATGTCAGATAAACAGCGAAGTCCTTTTCAATGTAAGTTATGTCTGGTGCGGAACCTGGGACAAGAAGCCTTTTTCTAGTACCTCTCAGGCATTTCTTGGGACATACTTAGGCTAAAACACAATCCATTGTTTATCTGACAATTGAGCTGGGTGTCCTGTATCTTATCTGTGGCCCTCTTTGAGAGGTGCCAAGGTAGAGCACTTTGTACCCCATCCCACCTGTCGCCTCCTGCCAGCTAATAGCATGGCCTGTGCTCTGGCACGCCGGGCTTTTATTACTAATCTCGAGATGTCCCAGGCAAAGTGGGATACGTTGGTCACTCTAGACTGAACAGATGTTGACGGAATTGAATTTCGAGAATCTTCTGACTCTTCTGCAACCTCCTAGGGGCCTTCCGTTGCGGCTGGTACTGCTTGTACCTTGGTGAACTGCAGGCCATGCCAGTCAAGGGGTCCATGCCCACAGACCACTGCCTGCAGCTCAGCATCTCCGAGATGCTGTCCATCACCTTGGTTATGCTGAAGGATTCCAGCCTTTACTGGAGTTTTCCTTTGGTTTGTATTTTCTTCACTTGAAGAAGATTTGCTACTGATTTAGTCCTGTTTTAAAATTCTGTCCAGCTGAGAGGTCCTGTTTCAATTTCTGGGTGACTCTTCTTCAGTCCTTTCCTTCCTTCTCAGGTCTGTGGAGTCCGCCTCCTGCAGTTTACTTATCTGACGACATACGCCACAGGCCTGGACTTTGTTCTGACATCTCCTTACCTCTAATCCCAATGTTGTTTCTCTGCCAAACAGATGTGTATTCAAATGTGCATAAGAAAAGCAGCAAGCTGGGTTTATTTTGAAATTTCCTCATTTTGCACAAACTCCATTGGTAGGAGCATTTTTTCTGGACAAAAACCCACAACAAACATATGTTAATAGCTACTTAGAGACAAATTCCTATTTGGCCATCTCTGCCGTCATCGATCTGGCCCCACTGCCAGAGACACAAAAACGATTGAGGATTCAGAGACGTGGAGACATCTGTGGCACACTGTAGCTTTTTCTTGCTTCTAGGATTTTTTTGCTCATAGGAATGAGTGACTTGAGCAGCCTGTTCAATGGTTTTGTCCAACTTGAGGAAGAGTTTTGAGTTTTACTTTTCTCTTGTCAGGTATTTTATCATTTATAAGGTGTTAGAAATGACTTCAATTTCCACTCAGGTCTTTGGGCCTTGTGTGTGTATTTTAAAACGGCTTATTTTCAATGTGATAAAGGCATCTAAGAAACTAGCTTTCACTCACTAAGCTAAAGATATGGCCACTGGGCTTAAACCTTTCAAAGAGAAAGGGAGAGAATATTGTTTGATTCACACATACACACACATACCCACACTCAGTTTAATTATCTTAAAAATATTCTGAGCCCCTTCCCCCCTCCAAAAAATTCTGAGCCCTGTTTCCTGGACTGGCTATTCTAGATCTACTGATGAGCATACCTTCTGTGACATAACTTTCCTTACCTTTTGTGACACAGACATCAACTGCAGGGCCATTTGGTCTGGGGGTTTTAAAAAACAGGACTGTTAGGGCACGCAGCTGGACGAAGAGGGTCCCATAAATCAGGCAGTCAAGTCCAGAATGGAAAGAATGGGCCAGATCATGGTCAAATTCACAGCCAAGAAAACAGGGTCAGCAGGAGTAGAAGACAGTCGGTCAGTAGCACAGAAAAGCAATTTGTGATCCACAATCAAGTCATGTTTGCTCTGGATCTTGTTTACAACCTTTGGCTGTGTGTGGGCAGCCAAGAAGAACTGGAGGCTGCCCAGCAAAACCTCCCGGCGTCCAGCCAGTGGCCGAAGTGCTGGACCCAATGGCAGAGCCCAATCACCCACCCAATAAGAAATAGCAGATACCACTTGTGCATTCATTATTTTGACCCTGAAGCCAATTAAGCACCTGAGGCCTGTGGGGCAGATGTAACCTGCAGGGATTGTGTCAGGCAGCACCTGTCCAGCAGTCTGGAATCCTGAGCTGCCATCCTGTAGCAAACCACTTCCTCATGGACAACTGAGTTTCACCTGAATGACAATCAGCCTTCACTTGCCACAAATGATTATTATAAATTTCTAAAGGTGTCAGTGTCACGGGGCCAATGTCCCCAAATCGTCTGATATTTTTTACTAGCTCTTTAGCTGTAGAGGTATAGTACTGCCATTATTTATTACACGTGGATTTGTGGATAGTGAGGTGTATGTGTGGAGGGCATGCCAATTCATTCATTAGACTTAATGCCAGGGAACAAAGCCTTAACTTTTTATTCATCATAGCACAGGATAGAACTTTAAAAAACACCACTGAAAATGTCATTGCCAACATGAAAATTAAGAGTAGAATGTTTTATAAAAAAAAATTCTTTTTCTATAATACACATTCCCTTATGAAGTGAAAAAAAACCTCATAGAATACTGTAGCGAATCGCCACCTGCTGGTCAAATATGGTTTTGCAATTGAAAAACTTCAAATTACTCCTCAAGTACAAGGTAGGAGCATTTTACATACAATACACACAAAATTACCGAAGAAAACATTTCCTCAGCCTTTGGCACGATGTCAATACAAAACTGTAGTTCTTTTCGCAACATGACTTACTTTTCAAAGCGTTGCAGATAATTTGGTTAATACTGATTATGGGGCAAAAGGAAAAACCATGTTCTGTAATTTGAATACTCTATTTAGATTCTTAAACACTTTATAGTTGGATTCCAGTTTGTAGTTTTGAAAAATACATAAAAGTTATACATTATAAATATATATTATATATGGTCTATATAAAATTGAATTGGACCTAAAATGGGAAGGACAACTTCTTAATTATCCTTTCTTTGTTAGGCACGGCCTTTCTCTTGTTTGATTAACTGAATCCTTTCTAAACAGATTCTAAAAATATATTCCATAACATACCAAATTTAATATTTTCTTTAAAATATTCAATATGAAAAAGCATCCAGTAACTATATTTTTTTGTATCTCACTACTATATAAAAATATGGCTTCTCATATTGTTTTGTTTTGTTTTGTTAGTGTTTTTCTTAGGCATTGAAGGTAGGGCTGTCCCCAGATAAAAAGCTATGGCAAAAGCACAGAAACCTGCTTGTGCATATTCTAGAACATTCTATAGACTCTCATTACTTAGTGTAAGTGAAGTGATTACAAAAAATTGTTCCTTTTGTTTTCTGTGAATATATCATATATGATTATCATACATAATCTGTTACAGAATATACAATAGTCATAACTATAGTCACATAAACACAAATAAGCAAAACTAAAGCAAGAGTTTTATCTTACACAGAGGCAATGGGAATAGGTTTCAGATGAGACACGGCCATCCGTTTTTGTTTTTGTGTTTGCCTAAGGCTGGCTATGCAGCAGAACTTTATTCTAAGTGGCCAGGGTACTAGTGCTCTATGTCTTTAAGTGAACTGAGCTTCTTCTGTGTTATTTTTTAGATGTGTAAAGGAAGAGAAATAAGAGAGGGTCCAATTGTTCAACACCAACTTTTCCCCCTACTGAGCGAAAGAAGGCTGTTTGGGACGGGAGGGCACGAGCTTGGGTGGGCTCATACCAGTGTCTCCGGGAGGGCATCGGGGTTGTCGGCCGACAGGAGCTCCCAGATTTGCCACCGCTCTCTCTGCCAATCTAGCCAGTTGGGCTCGCCCAAGGCCTTACTGTTCTGATCGCTGGCAGGACTGGTGTAAGCACTGCTCAGTTTCTGCTGGGCAGCCCGGTGCTCTCGCTCAGCTGTTTGGCTTCCGTCTTCCAAAGCTGTTCTGGAGCCTTCTTCTGGCCTCTGAGGTCTCCACAACGGTGGCTCCGTGGGCTGGTGGGACGATGCGAAAGCTTGCTTCCCTGGACCAGGATAAGGAGGAGGAGGCCTCTTGTCATGCCTCGCACTCTCTCGAGGTCTCTGGGACAAAGGCTTGGCTTGGCTCTGCTGCCAGGTCACATCCAGCTCGCTCTTGGTGAGGTCCTCGGCGCTGCTCAGAGTCAAGTACTGCTCAGACCTCCGGCCACTGCCCTGGGTGTGGGGCGGGCTACAGATGCGGGACACAGGACGGTGGGCTCTGTGCTGCACCACAGTGGCCGTGGGCTGAGTCCTCTGAACAACCTGCGTACCACTATTCAGTTCTGTGGGACTCCCCTGCCACTGAAGCCAATTTGGGGACAGGTTCCCTTGGGAAAGGGAGCATGGCCCTGGTCGTAGGGAGCTGCTTTCAAAAATGTCGCCATAGGAACCTGAAAGTCAGAGAGAAGGGCAAGAAATAGAATTAATTTGTAGAATCCCTCTTGGGATGGCCTATTATTTCCTTCCCACTGCCAACTTCAAAAATGGAAAATGCACAGGACACTCTTAGTTGCCACCGCCTAGTAGAAGACTGCCTAGTGAAAGAAATGACAGACTTTTTGATTATTGGCACAGTTCAGGTAGCAGCTCCTAAAACAGATGCCTAGACTGACAGGTTAGCTGTCCAACTAAACAGTCCTTGTCACTAATTTATATTTCAGGAAAGGCCCCCTCTACATGGCTATGATAATGTTCCTGGACCTAGAAGGTGAAGAAAGTATTTGTCCCCTTCTACTTCAGTGTAGTTTGCAATCCAAATAAGACACAAATTACAATGCTTTTATGTTTCTATCCATCAATAAAAGCTGTCGGAATAAATAAACTGATTCTGAAGTGCCCATTTGGTGCCACAATATAGTGAAGATGGCAGTCACTGTGTATATTCTACCACAACCATTATGGGAAAGACCAGCTCATTGTTCACCAAAGTTTCCCCTTTCCTTCCTGGATGCCATTTCCCAGACTCCCTTGCAGTTAAGAGAGCCACATAAATGAGGTCTGGCCGATAAATGTGTAGAGATGTGATGTGAGCCATTCTAGACCTGGTCTATTAAAAAAACCAAATGCACACCTACTCTTCCCTATTCACTCCCTTCCCTCAACTACTAGCCCAGGAGGGAGAAACCATGGAAGACTCAGGTGCCTGAGGATGGGGGAGCCATCAGCTAGATGGAACCTGGGCCCCAGAATGACTATGTGGAACAGAGCACACCTCCCACCCCTCCTCACCCTGCACAATCCATGCAGGAGTGTGTTGCGAGGGAGAAATCAACCTGTGATAGGTTAAGCCACTGACTTTCAGGGGCTGTATGTTATAGCAGCAAGCCTTCCCTGGCTGATACAAATTTTCTCCATAAATTGGAGGGAGAGCAATGTGTTTCACAAGCACATTCAGAGTTCTTACGGCCTCTGTTCCCAGACTGCCTTTTTCCTATACATCTGCCCTGTGCTCTCACTGCCCAAACAGTAGGCAGGGAAAGAGAACAAGATCATTGTTGGGGGAGAGGGAGAGATGAGCATTTATGCAGGCTCAGATTAGAGTTGAAACAGCAGAAGGGAAATAGAGCAGAACATCTTGGAATAGTTTCTCCTTGGGGAAAAAGGCAGTGAAGCAGTTCAGGGGATATAGTGAGATGTAGTTAGATAATGGATCAGTACTAAAGTCAGCCAGATTAGAGGCCATTCAATTAAAAATGCACTGTGCTTTAAAAATGTAATAAAGAAGGTATTACGAAGCACTGAGAAGTGGACTGTATTTTTTCTGAACAATAAAAGAAAGCAATTTATATGCTTCATGCTATATATTAACATATATTCCAGATGGATTAAAGAATTAAGGGTTAAAATAATGAGATACTATGAAAGAGAGAAGTGTATAGATGACTGGCCATCCAATGCTTAAGCAAACATTAATTTTGTGAAAGAATTCACACAAAAAAAGTGATAGACTACAGAAAACATTAAAAAAATCCCAGCTATCTGGAGGGAAAAAATGCAAGGGATAATATCAGTTGTAAGCAACATGGACAAAGGATTGATATCTTTGTTATTGGAAGAGTTCATAAGAATCAATTTCTGAACACTAGCATTCATAAATAGCCTATGACATAAATGGCAATCCAGTAGGAGGAAATTCAGCTACATTAATAGAAATTAATTTAGTATGATTGTTAGCTAAAATCAATAGAAAAAAATGGAAAAACACTGGTGAGAAAGAAATGCAAATCAAAACAATCAACACCATTTTGATCTTTAAATTAGAAAAAATGCAAACCCAGTAATTTGCAATACCGTGAGATTAAAGTGACATGGAGAGGACAATGAAAAGCCATTCCATCTAGGACTTACAGAGCAGCAGCTAGAGTATGCTACACTCAACGTGAAGTGACTATAACTCTGAATTCTTGGAAAGGTTCATAATTTTTGACCCACTTTCCTATTCTGGATTCACTGCTTGCTTTCCAAAATTTTGTGAATCTACTAATAATGTAAAATACAGAAAAAGTGCATAAAAAAGGCCTAAGAGCATACTTATTACAGCAACTGCAGAAAGAAATGGAAACTACTCAGTTGTCCCAAACTATGAAACTCTGGAATACTATGTGGCCCTTAACAATGATAATGGGAAATAACTGGAAAATGGAAGTTAACATACACTTGCACAGACAGAATGACTGTAACTATGTTTACAAACTCTTGCAAAGGAAAAGAAATGGAATATAGTCAAAAACTGATGTTGTTTGGTGGAAAGGCTAAGTTTAGCTTTATCCTTTTTTTTCCTGTTTCCAGCATTTTCCAAATATTTGACAAGCATGTAATGTGATAATAGTAAGGCAAAAATATATGAAACTTAAAAATTTGAAAAGGAGGGAGGGCTGTATAACACAGAGAAGACAAGTAGTGATTCTACAACATTTTGCTATGCTGATGGACAGTGACTGTAAAGTGGTTTATAGGGGGGACCTGGTATAGGGGAGAGCCTAGTAAATATAATATTCTTCATGTAAGTGTAGATTAAAGATTTAAAAAAAAGAAAGAAAAGGGGGATTACTCCTTGATAGGATAAAACTAACTATAAATCAACAATTAATGCATGCTTTAAATATCCTTAATTTTGATCACTTAAAGGGTGTCAGATGATCAGCTATGGAGGTACACTTTTCTGATAATATTCCTTTCTCTTAAAAAAAATTTAAAAAATTAAAAAAAAAAAGCAGTTCCTGTGTGGTGACCTCCGATGAGTTCTACACAATGGTATAAAGGGCATATCAAAGTGTGGGCAAAGGGTCTGTTTGTGTTTATACAGAAGATCAAAGCCTAATTTGGCTACCCAGAAAATGAACTAAGATACAATATGAAGAAGAACTTCCAACATCAGCACTCTCTGGAAGAGTCATACCAGAAGATGATCATCAAAAAACCTCAACAAAGATCCAGGCGATGCTGCAGTTGTAGCTGCATCCATCCCACTGGTTCCTGGACTTGCCATTGGAATGAAGAAGGAGATATCTAAGCTGGCCTGTGCTTTCAGTAAAACAACAAATTTGACTGGATCTATACTGTTGGAACTCAACCAAGAATTAGGAGAAGTGCAAGTTGTAGCGCTCCAAAATCTTACAACTACAGACTATCTACTGTTAAAAGAACATATGGGATGTGAACAGTTCCCAGGAATGGGTTGTTTTAATTTGTCTGATTTCTCTCAGACTGTTCAAGTACAGCTGGACAATATCCATCATATCATAGACAAATTTTCACAAATGCCTAGGGTGCCTAACTGGTTTTCTTGGCTTCACTGGAGATGGCTGGTAATTATAGATCTTCTTTGGTTATATAACTGTATTCCTATTATGTTAATGTGTGTGCACAATTTAATAAGTAGTTTAAAACCTATACATGCTTAAGTTACTCTACAAGAAGATATGTCAAAGAAATAATCAATCCTCTTATGTTTTCTTCCATCTGCTACCTCTATAGCATTTCTTCTTCCTTCCTAATTACAACCCTTAAATAGAATTCGTGCCTCATATTGAATTTACCAAGTATCATAATTCCTCCAGGTGGTAAAGATACCTCAAGACAAATGCTGGGCATAGAAGCCACAGGGCATAAATCTGCAAAGAAGTAAAAAGCTAACCTTTTCAAACAATGTGGCTTCTCTCTCACTTACCAACTTTACATTTCCCTGTATGGCCCCGGAAGATGACTGGTTAGCCAGAGACGGGTAAGATTCCTCAAGGGAGGAACAACCTAAGACAGGCACAGTCGCAGGGGGGCCATCAGGTGAGAAATTGGGGATCAACAGTGGTGAGGCTTAGAACCTCACCCCCCCTGTTTTGAGAGAAATCTTCTGCATCCGTGGATGTTTTAATGCCCTTGTCTAGCTTGGATTAACACATAATCTACAGGCACACACCTGATCATCTACATTTGCTCTCTTACAGCACTAAACTATGTTTTCTACCTTTATCTTGCATCTACCTACCACTTCAGCATTTTATTAAAAATAAAAAAATAATAATAATAAAGGGAGAAATGTGGGATCCACATATAAATCAAGTATAAAAATCAAATGAATATTCATATTTGACCTGATTGTTTATAGTTCATAATGCGTGATCAAAACCGAAAGTTTGTGTGATGACTGCCCTTGTACTGTTCACCATGTAAGAACTTATTCACTATGTAAGAATTTGTTCACCATGTAAGAAGTTGTTCGTTATGCTTCAGAAGATTGGAGACTGACGAGAATTAGGCTTGGAGTGGATTAATGATTGTGCATTGAGCAGAGTCCCCTATACAGAATTTTATTGTTGTTAACAACCATTTGATCAATAAATATGAGAGATGCCCTCTCAAAAAAAAAATTTGAAAAGGAAATGCAATAAATACTCTTTTAAAAATAGTATTTTACCTGTCATTCCTGGGTCTTTGGACCCACTTTTTAATGTTGAATGCCAAGTTCCCCAGATATTGAAAGGCTCCTCCGACATATCTAGGTAAAAGTGTATCAGAAAGGTATGTAACTCACAATGAAAACTGAAGAGCAAAAATCAATAAACAAATATTATAACTTCTCTACTGTGTAAACTACTGTATTTAAGACTGTGGTGGATACAAGACAGAATATCATGCAGACCTGCCTTTCTGGAGGCTTATTCCATTTAGAAATTTATGAAAAGGCTCTTTCTACATTAAGGTTGTGGTAGACAGCATAAGGGTTCCTCCAAAGATGTGAGTCATGATCCCCAGAGCCTATAAAGATGTGATATTCAAAAGGGACTTTGCAGGTGCGATTAAGTCAGAGATTGTGAGATGAGACAATGATCCTGAATTATCTGGGTGGGTCCTGTGCAATCACAAGTGTCCTTCTAAGAGGGAGACAGGCGGGAGAGCCGCTGCGTTACTGACTTTAATCATGGGGGAGAAGGTCAGGAGCCCAAGGAGGCGGGTAGACTCTAGAAGCTGGGGAAGGCCGGGAAACAGATTGTTCCCTAGAGTCTCCAGAAGGAACACAGGCCTTTGGACCCATTTTAGACTTCTGACATCCAAAACTAGAATAATAAATTTGTGTGTTGTTTGAAACCACTAAGTGTGTGGCCATTTGTCACAGCAGCCATAGGAAACGAATGAAGGGCCCATCTCCTCAGGATTCCAGGAGAGAATGTGTATGAACTGCTGAACACAGTGGCTTCCAGAAATGGTTATTATGACCACATCACAGGAGCAGGTAAGAAATGCACCCAGGGTTACAAAGCAAGTCTTATGGAGCCCGTATTACATGCCATGGTCTGTGTTAAGGACTTTACATAGGTGAGCTAATTAAACCCTACAAATTCACATGCTATCTTTCTTAGTTCTCATAGGAGGCAGCCATGGGACTCCAAAATGCTCACTCACTCACTCAAGGTCCTATAGGTTGAAAGTGGCAAGCAAGTTATTGACTCCAAATGTAGTACTCTTATCCTTGGATACTAACACTGCTTGCTTCTAGTTCCCTCAGGGTGAGGTTATTTCCAGGGAGAAAGTTGTAGGTTAGGGAGGGTTGCTCGGCCTCAGCACTATTGCCATTTGGGGTCAGGTCATTCTTCGTGGTAGGGCATCCTGGGCACTAATGTGGCGGGTTGAGCGGCCTCCCTGGGCTCCACCCACCGGCTGCCAGTAGCACTCCCTCTCAAGTTGTGAGGACCACAAATGTGTCTAGAAATGTCACATGTCCCCTGGGGTACAAAGCTGAGACCCACACTGTTGAGTTCACCAAGATGTGAGCAGGTGGAAAGATCTAAGGCGAGCCTTAGCCTACTTGATAAAAACCTGCGAAACAAAGCCACTAGCCCTGGGAGGAAAGAATCAAGTGTCACTAGTGTAAACTTGTCTAACAGTATCTCAAAGAATCTGTACTTAGAAACCTGAATATGCCATGCCTTTCATAGTAGCAAAATTCTCTTCAGATCGCCTTTTTTTTTTTGTTGCAGATAGTATTACCTACAGAAACTCTGTCACTAATCTAAAAGAGCAAAAATTAGAAATCATTTATATACACTGGAAAGGAAAACAGGTAAAAATCCATGATACATTGCTTTAATGGGAATATATCATGGCCACAAAAACATTAGCATAATGGCACATTCTACTGATATAATTTTAAGTCAGCTTAGGTCAAAAGTAGCTATACTATGAAAGCAAATATATAAAGTTATGTATATATATGGACAAGGACTAGGAAAAATGAAGTTTCACATTTTAAAAATAATTGTATGCCTGATGGGAATCTGAACTACTGTTTTTATCTTAAGTTTTTAAAATTATCTTTAGCACAAATATTTGTATAATAAAGATGCTACGATTTACACACATACACACACACACACACACAGAAGAGAAAGGGGCCTTTCAGTGTGGCTCTTCAGATTAAATTATAAATTTAAGATAAAACAGCAAGAATTTGTACTGTGCCTTCTAATTATTACTTAAAGAGTGTCCTGCTGACTCCTGGCCCTTGGGAATTTCTCTGTGGAAGGAAAGAACAGAACCAGCCATTTGGTGGCCAGATAAATTTGGGAAAAGCTGCAAATCATACCCTTCCTCCCACTGTGGACACTCATGGTGCTTATTTGCACTTGCAAGAATCTGAGACGTACAATAGAGAAACAATTGGCTTTGGGTAACTTGGCATTTCCCAAGTGTGTTTGACATGGGATCCTTATTTTGCCAAAAAATATTAATCTCCCACGGAGACCTCTTTGGAACCCTATGGTCTTGTATAGCAGGTTCAGTAAGTTCTCTTTGTAAAAGGAACAGCAATAAATAGGGATAACATCTTAGCCCAGCAAATATGCAGTCAAACCCACTGGCCAGGACACATCAAGTGCCTGCTGCTGGAGGGCAAAGAGTCAGCTGGGAACTTCAGCGGCTCCCAGGGAGGGAGGTGGCTTCCCAGAAAACTGGGTCTGCCGGGCCCCTCTGAGATGACAATGGCTCGCCCCACCTTCCTCTTTCTAGAGGTGTTTAGCAGGTGCTCAAACAACCTCAATGAATTACAGAAACATAAAACAAGGAAGGGATGAGGAGTAGGTCCCACGCACCCACACCATGCCACATGCAATCAGTCACTGGTCTGGCCCGTGCCGGCCAGGCTCCACTTACCTTTCCCAAGCCTTGGTCCAGGAGAACCCTCCCTGGATTTTGACGATGTCAAGTGGCCCACCAGCAAGTCCTGCTCCAGCCCTTTGAAAAGCTTCTCCGAGCCCCCCGGGCCCGCATCCTCTTGCATAGCCAGCAGGGAGCGCTCGGACAGCACAGGGGAGCTGTTGTCATAAGGGGAGAGGTCTCCGCTGGAGGCCTTGTTGGAGTCTGTGGATGAGTGCCTTCCTCCCACGGAAAAGGGACCTTCCGACGGCAGCATGTCAGGGCTTCTGGCACAAGGAGACAATTACAGGTCTGTGAGCGTGTTAACAACCAGTGACCAGGTATGGTTATACAACCGTTACACGAGTGACAGGAGGTGAATGCACGGACACGGGCTGAAACAAAAAGAACTTTAGAACAATGTTCCAAGACAGTTACAACAAGGGGAAAGCATTTCCAGAAATGGCCAGCAGAGGGCAGCAAAACCCAACAGATGGTGCAGGAAATGTCAAGGCGAAGGTGGGGGGATGAGCGGACATGGAGCCCTGAATTCTCCATCTAGAGGAGATGGAAAGGCCTGTTGGATTAACCCCTGGTCCTATTTTAAAATAAAAGCCTAATGGTCACTACCCTTTGAGGAAGGAAAAACTGGTAGATAACTCCTTTACTTTTCTCAATGTTCTGAATTAAAAAGGTTTTCTGATTGAATTTGTGATTGAAACTATATGAATGAAGTTCATTGTGGCTTTACGGACAATTTCTCTTCCTTCCCCAAATACTTAGTGTAAGTAAATACCTCCCTCCAGTGACAATGACGAAGATGCTACTGGTGGGGATAACTGTTTCATGTATGAAATGGCAGGGAAGACAAATATATGACCATCACTAGAGTTCACTGTATTTAAATACACCTGAAGTGATTCTACCATGCACTAGTGCTTTTACAACCTGATATAAAACATACGCATCAGCATATCCATCACATCATCTATGTGCACATGAGTTGTCACAGCAACAGAAGTAACACTGACACGTGAGCAAAACAGGAAAAACGGCAGCGTCAGGAATATGGGAAGAGTGTTCGAAGTCTTACCTGGGAACATCTGTATTTTCTACCTTCCTCAAAACAGTGGCCCTGACAACATCTTCAAGGGAAATAATCACAGATTGATTACAACTTAAAGATCCTGCTTCTCTCTTCCCCCCTACTTTCATTCTCTTTACTAATCTTGGCTTTCTTTTAGTTTGAATTTTCAAAACAAATCCTCTGTGATCTTAAAGGGAAATGCATGCCCAAGCAATCCTTTCCTCACCAAAGGACTTCGTGCATGAAACAGAGAAGGAATGAATGTCGGGAAGGAACGCCCGGCGCGGAGCAGCCAGGGGCCCGAGCACGTTCGTTGAGGGAATGTCTTACCCACATGGAACAAATAAGTCCTTTCCTTGCCTCCTCTTTAAACCGATGACAGATAATATTATGGGAAAGAGCCAGAGGACAGCCATGAAGATGATTTTCCAGAAAGTTTAGGCCTCCGGTGAATGAAGGAAAAAGAAAAGGAACTTAATACTTCTGCTGGAAAGAGGGGAAAAAACTATTTAACCTTCATATCTGATTCAAGGGGGGAAAAGCCTCCCTTGTTCTAGCAGAGGGGACACAAACCAAAACAAACAGGCATCTGTCTGTCCTCGTGGGTTCCATTCTGCTGGGGGACACTGGACTATGAAAATGGGGACAAGTGGGTATGTTGAACTAGTAGCTATATAGAGTTCAGCCCAGAATCGGGGGTCTCTGTTCTGACCAGGGCTAGAAATGCTATCACTGGGCTCCGTTCAGTTGTTTTCCCAGTTCGGGTGACATTTTTCCAGTCACGAATGAAATGTCCCATGTCCACCCAGCAAGAACAAGTCACGGTGTTGTATCAGTAACAGCAGGCACATAAAGCCTTGTTTTGTAGGATGTTTTAAAGAGAGTAAGTCGATTAATTAGTCAGAACAAAATAGCTGTCAGGGCTACAATGCTTTTTTGCCCCCTCACATTGGGAGGGAAGTCATGGCAGTCAAATTTCCGCTCACAGGGACCCCAAGAGTTCTGCCTTATGACTTGCTCATCTGTCTCACAAAACATATGGGAGCTAATGCCTCCAGCAAAATAGTATCAGTGGCAGATACAGCCAAGAGTTGCACAAAGAAAGAGACCCAGTGGAAGAAATTTCTCGTAGGTCTCAGTAATAGGGACATTTGGGTTTCTACCAAGCAAGTAGGTTATTCATGCATCACATAAAAAATAATGCGTCTCTCTTGGCACTGACTGCTGGAAGGCTCGGGGGAATTGGGGCTCCACTTGGCTTGGCGTACAGGAGCTTGTGGCACACGCCCCAACTCCATCTCACCCCTCCCGCCACTGTCTTCCTTTCCCTTGTCTCAAACTCCTTAGTGCGATATTGTTCCGCTTTACATATGTTTGCAAGCTGCTCCAATAAATTGTGTTTGGACTGATGTATAGACAGGGAAATCACACCCACATTAATTATTTTGGGTACTGAAAAGGCAGTATGCTTCCTGAGAACATTGTTTGGTTAAAGCAAAACGAATAATCATAATAGGAAAAATAACTGGCGCTGCCACAGTTTTCTCCCCCCTTTCCTGGCTATGATGGAGTCTGACTGGGTAGAGGCAGCAGAGGTGGAGGTGGAGGGCCACTGTCCCTTTCCTCTGTTCTTTGGGCTGACTGCAAACTGTCGCTTGGGGCTTCAGCACCCACATCACCAGGGGACTTGTTGGAAATGCGAATTCTCAAGCTCCATTCTGGACCTGCTGCTGGGACTGGCTCTAACATGTGGGGCCCCCAGTTACAAGAGGGTTCCAAGATGGTGACAGCAGATCATTAAGCCAAATGTGGGCTGTTTTGAGTTGCGGGGTCCTGTGTGGCTGCTCAGGTCACAGCCCATGAGGCTGGCTTTGCCCACTGAAAGGGCACCTGGGAGTGGGCTAGCAAACTGTGTTTTCAGAAGGCCTCCAGACAATGGTGATACATAGGGGGGCTTGAGAACTTCTGATACCAAACCTCTCCTCCCTCCTTCAATCTACAGATGTGACAGTGGGCTAAGGATCTACCGAGGGTTGGGTCAGGAGGGGAGCCACAGAGAGAAGCTAAAATCCCCACACGACTGGAGGTGGGGTCAGTGTGGTGGTCCTGACCTCCAGGGGCGTCGGGGCCACAGCTGAGTAAAGGAAGGCGAGTGTGCCCACCCCAGGCAGCTCCAGTTGGCAGGATCCAGAGAGCTGGCTGCAGCTGGAGGCGATGCCTTCCTTTCCCAGCCACCCAGGGTTACCTTGGCAGTGGCAGGGCGTAAGGTCTGAGTACACACGGCAGGCAGCTTGTGAAATACGCTTACGTAAACAGTAACACCCAGGGTTTATACGGACTTCATTCTGTGGCAGGCACTGGACTGAGCTCCTACCAAGTCTCCTCGTTTCTGATTGTGGTCTAGAGGACTAAATAACATGTCTTTCTGGCAGTAGAGGCTGTAGGGGCTGACAACCTTCTAAAATTTATTTGATAAATGTATTCAATATTATTAAAAACCAACAGTAAAATACTGTATTTTATGCATAGAGTTGATGGCCCTTTTAAATGTTTAAAGTATTTCCTATCTATCATTTTACTTTTCTCAGCAGAGCTCAGTAGATGGCGGCCAAACACGCCTAAGAACCCATGTCCAGGGATCGGCTTTCCACACGAGAGCTCACCAGTTAATAAATAGGATTGTTTTATTCACTCCACTGGACTCTCAGTACAACATGGCAGCTCAGAGTTGTAAAAAATTTAGTGTCATTCCATTGTTTTATCATTAAATCCATTGTAAACAAATTTAGAACTCTCCACTGGGAATCTCTGAAAAATGAGACAAGTGGGCACCAATGTCCTCTCTAAGATTGGCCTCTAAGATGATTCAACCCTATGAAGGCAATTTTATGTTCAGGGCTCCAAGAAAGGCCAACAATGTATTTGTGTTTATTTATATAAAATATTTGCTCTAACCAGTGATTCACACAATGAGAAAGGGTTTAAAAGCACACAGCAGTTCTTTGTTCTTGGAAGAAGAATAGTCCTATGTCTTGGAACTTAATGCACGGAGTCTGGGAATGTTGGGTGGATAGGCTGCCTCCTGACGTGGGTTTGCGTCCATGAATGGAGGGCTTCCCCTCAAGACCTGAAAAGCTCAGGACTGTCCATGGCATGCATGGCCGGTCGCAGTTAACCGAATAAGCATGAGATGGACAGGGAGAGTGACTCACTTTCTCGCCCTTAGCTGGTCCCTCCAGGTCAGGGTGTAAACACACCACTGGCAGGGTACTGGGGGCAGGCCTGCACTGCAGCTGGAAGCACAGAACTGGTTCTGTGGATAAATGGAAAACTCCGGTTCAATCACCAGATGTGGCCAGCCCAGCCCCTTGCTGAGCTACCCCACGGAGAAACCCCCTTGGAGATTTCAAGCTTGCACTGGCTTCACCCTTGGCTCAGTCCTTCGACTGATAAGCCTCAGTCTGTTGGAACTCAAAGCACAGAACCACCTGGAACACTACTGTTCTGGCAAAGGAGTCCATGGGTACAGCAGCTCTGGATTTATGGAGTTTTTCCACATTAATCATTCTGTTCTGCAAAGCATCCCCTATGCAGAATCCTAGGGACAATGGCACCCTACCCTGAAGATAAGTGGTCATGGATCTGAATTCCGCCCTGGGAGATGAAGCCGGCACCCTGGACTTTAGAACTTCCCTGGGGCTGGAGTGGAATTTCTCCCCTCATTTTTAGTGCTTATGAATTCCTTCCTAACAGCCCTGGCACGTGGAGGCATTTATGACAGGTGAAGAGAAAACAATGCTGACTTTATTAATTTTATTTATAGTACACCTGATAAAATATCTTCATATTCCTATTTTGCAGGTTTGTAAAGCAGTTCTGAATCACAGTAAAGGTGTTGGAGGAAAGAGATAATGTGATAAATTCTCCTTCCATCTTGCATTGCCTTTCCACAGAAGGTACATTTACACTTTTTGGAAATTTCCATTATGGAATTCTGTATTCCACATACAGATAATTTTTCCTAAAATTGTTTGGCTGAAAAGGCCTTCTTGAATAGAGTGTGTGTGTGTGTGTGTGTGTGTGTGTGTGTGTGTGTGTGTGTGTGTGTGTGTGTGTATGTGTGTGTGTGTTTAATGCATTAATGCTTTGTGATTTCCAAGGAACTGGAACAGAATGCCAATGAGGCCACCAGCTACTGCT